GGACCGCTAAACCGGGACCGACCGTGTTCACCATGTTCATGTGTAAATTACATGTATGAATGGCTCTCTCATGCCGTCTGTCTTGCCGGTTTCGGTGTTGGCTCCCCACCCACCCCACTCGCCCAGGCTTGCACATCACGTTGGAACTCCCTTGGTCCGCAGACAAGGCCATCCAGCAGCTGGGCAGAACCCACAGGGCCAACCAGGTACCAATATGTGTGCATACATACATGCGTCGCTGTGGGTACAGCAGCAGAGGGGTCCCTGCTGTCTAGTACCAAGACATGTGGACGGATCTTTTGCCGGGCACCCGGCCCTGTTCAAGCGGCCGTTATGCAGGGACCACTACCGGATCTATCCGCTCATACGGTTCGGGGAACACAAACGTCGTTCGGCCAATGTCGCTGCCAGATCATTTGTCGACTGTTTTTTTTTTTTTTATGTGACCAAGAGTGAGTCCCTCTCCGTTCGTTCTCTCTCTCTATCTCTCTCTGTCTCTCTCTGTCTCTGTCTGTCTCTGTCTGTCTGTCTGTCTCTGTCTCTGTCTCTGTCTGTCTGTCTGTCTGTCTGTCTGTCTCTCCCTCTGTCTCTCTCTCTCTCTCCATCTGTCTCTGTCTCTCGCTCCCCACCTGTCTGTTGTGTTTCGAATGCACGCATGCAAGCAGTTCCAACCTCCGATATACCAGCTGATCGTGAGCGAGGTTTGTGGAGAGACACGCTTCTCGGCGGCGGTGGCCAAGCGGCTAGAGTCTTTGGGCGCTCTCACCCAGGTCAGAACGTGAAAACAATCAATTTGTTGGGTCCCTGTCGTTGTTGTTGTTGTCGTTGTTGCTGTGGCTGCTTCTTGCTGATGTTGTTGTGGTGGTTGTTGATGTTGTTGCTGTCGTCGTCGTCGTCGTTGTCGCTACTTGGTTTGGTTGCGACACAATGTCGAGAATTGTTTGTCCGGTTCAACCGCACTGCGAGCGGTCCACACCGACACACACAAGTTGATGATGCTGACTTGACTTCCAGTACGCCCACACTTCCTGCCAGTGCTTCTCTCGCTCTGTACTTTTGTAATTTGGTTTTGTGTTTGCGTTGTCTACCTCTCTTTGTTTCTCCTCCTTCCTTTCGTAACAATATTTATTGCCGTAGTGTTTTTTCTGCCTCTGTCCTCCTTCTTACCGCTCGTTCTAAATTCGATCTCGTTCTCGTTCAATTGTTCTTGTTCCGGTTGGGACGTGTCTCCTCCCCTAGGGGGGCCGGAGGGCTTCCCACGCGGGGGCGGGGGAGCTGGGCTTCACGGCTTTCAACGTGGACAATCAGTGAGTTGGCTCCTTCCTAGTCTCCTAGTCGCCCCACCCACCGAGCGACGGCTTCATGTAACAACCTGTGACAACGGCGTTTTTCTCGTTTCACAACATCACGTGCAGACGATTCACTCACGGACATCAGCTGGGCACGTGCCCGCAACCGGTTTGTGCTACGTTGTTGTTGTTGTTGTTGTCGTGTTAATGCTACCTTCAAGCTGCCCTTCCGTCCGCTCACCCGGCCTCCCCTGAAACGGAAATTGAGATGGTCGTTGTTGCTTTTTTCATCGCACTGGCTCTATTTATTGTGTTGCTGCCTTTATCGCCCCCCGAGGTCAATGGTCCAACGACTACGGCATTCGTTTGCATGAGTACAACCGACCGCGACCTCCCCCCCCGTAGGTATGGCAAGATGAGCTTGGACCACATCTACCGCCTGTGCATCTCGAGCGGAGAGAAGCCGGTGGTGCAGCCTCCGGACCTTGCAGACGAAGAGTGTGCGCACATCCGAGATGAGGTAGATGAAGTGCTTGGGTGATGCTAGCATTCATTCAACGGCACTTTTTTTTGTTGCGTACGGCCTCTCTGCGCGGTCATGGCGTGTACTTGGAGCACAGCCCCCCGTCAAGCGTGTACCATTTTTGATCCCGCCCCCTAAGCACAATGATGACCACCAGCTTGGTTCGTCCTTTTGACACGTAGACTGGGCCGGCGAAAACCTGGCACGTAGCTCGGTCCCGGCTGTGAATTTCAATTTTGTATGGTCAAACGGCTGTGTGATGAGTTCATAAGAGTACACTCCCCACACGTGCCCCCCTCTCCACTCTCGCGTGTAGGCGTTTGAGAGCCGCAAGGACAACGAGAGGTGTAGCAAGTACTGCTTCACCCAATCGTTCCGAGACTTTGGTCAATGGGTCTAGCCGCTAGGGCATGCAAAACATGAGTACGCCGCTAT